GTGAAGGCGGGGGGTAATGAAGGTTAAAGGTCGGAGGCACACAGGAGGAGGCGACTCTAGAGATGTTATAACCCCCGCAGCAAGAGGGGAAGAGGTTTTTGATTTTTTTTCAGGAAGGGTTAGGCTATTAGAGTTGTAGAGGGGAGAGAACAAATGTCATAGTTACCAGCAGGCTGAACAAATATACCTTCATGCAAGGGAGATTTTCTTTTTCTCGCTAGTGGATGAAAACAAAATTAGGAGGTTCAAAAAAACAACAAACAAAAATTAGAATTAAAACTGAAACGATTTCACAACCAGAAGGACAGAAAAAGAGAAAAATCCAGCACAATCAGCCACATAACTATCTAAAAGGACACACATACCAACACATACATGGCCACATAAATCTTTTTAAAAAAATATCGCAAATAAAAAAAACCACACAAGTTTTTCTACATTTTTAAAGATCAATGCAGGAAATAACAGAGGAACGCATGCAATTATGAGAGGAGTATCAAAAACACAAAAACGTCAAACATGTTTTATGAAATGTTTAACATAGAATCCAATCCACGCACAAGGGGCCTGGTAACATCACGTACGCACAGACACACGTTTAGTTTTGGTAAGAGTTTTACGGCACTTGCATCACAATTAGGTCATACACAGCCGAAGATTAGAGGTGCTTTTTAAAGAGAGTAACACACACAGAAAAGAAAGAAAGAGGAGAGATAAAGACAATAGAAAAATGTTTGACAGGAAAAAAGGAGCAAACCACACATACAGACACAGGAGAGATAAGTTCTTTACAATAAAATAAAACTATATCACAGATATCATAATGATTAATGATAATTTTCGGTTGTGCAATACAGAAGTTAGTAGAAAGTTTATAGGAACCTAAAGGAAATGAAATTCGCACCAGTACATCACAGAGCAAAGATGATTAATAACAATTATTGGTGGTTTAATTAATACAGTGATTATCAGAAAGTTCATAGTGATCTAAGGGAAATGAAATTCACTTCAGAACATCCCACATCAGATAGTTAGTAAGAACTATTGGTAGTTTTAATACGATAGTTATCAGAAAGTTGATAAAGACCTAAAAGAAATGAAATTCATCTCAATACATCCCAGATCATGAAGATTAATTGGACCTATTAGAAGTTTAATACGGCAGTTAGAAGAAAGATATACTTGAAATCTTAAGGAAATGAAATCCTATTCATTGCCAATTCATATCTTGGCTGTTGGATTCATCCACTATAAATACTAATGTAAGTTGAGTCTTTGTTATATCAGATGAAGCAAGATATTTGGCCCCAGGAGCTAAAAGTAAACAATTAATACACTCACTCCCATATGGTTGGTTTAAAGGACAAGCGGGCTAACCCAGATTCTAGGGGTTTCCAGAAATCTTGACCTACACCAAAAGTGGGCATTGCCCTACCTGTAGGAGAAGTTTTGTTTATTGGTGTGTCTATTTGTTTGGCTATAGAGAAAACTCTCTTTGTCCTTCAGAGAAACTTTACCTTCGATTTTCTCAGAACAGCATTTTTCGGGATAGCCCCTTGTGTTTAAAAGCGACCTTATAAGACAAGTAAAGAAAACAAGCAACTGGAAGGATCCCGAAAGACAGAGTTTACTTCATTGACTCAGTCACGCACTGTATTCAAACAGACAGACAGACAGACAGATAGATAGATAGATCGATAGATAGACAGAACAAATCATTTCGTCTAGCTATACCAACAGTTTATTTTTAGTACAAAAATGGATGAATGAAGGAAAGGTTAAAATATTTCGAGGGACAAAAACGTTGGCAAAAAGTCTTCTAAGGTAAAAGGTGGGAAAAATGAGAAACAAAAGAAAAGGTTGAAGATAAACCAACGGACTCTCCCACTATCTAAATGTCTTAGCAATATACCTCCCTCAACAATTGTTAAAATATAAACTATGTGTTTATATACACGCACACACATATCATATAGCAAGCTTAGAAAACTTTCTGGCCGATTAATATAAATTAAATATACATGTAAATTGAAAAGCACATAGAGCTTGCTGTTGAGCGGGAATTAGCGACATAATAAAATGCTATTTATCATTTATTCGCAAAATACACATTTTAATGTGAGGCATCGTGGTGAAATCAGGCGTTTGTGAAAATAATGAAATCAAAGAAATCGACATTTTTGG